CTTGTGTATGTCTGGAAATGTTAAGTCCATTTGGTCATCTTGAAGAAAGCTTTCTGGATGCTGAAGTCAATATGCAATTGTGGGTGGGTTGTGATTAGAGAGCTGCAGAAGGATGGAGCTGGGGTGCCAGTACTGCTTCACCTGACCACATGTGGATGTTCAGCGATGTGGTCCAATAATTTACTCATGAAGCTACTTTGCCATTTTTGTTTCTTTGTTTCGTGAGAAGCAGCATCATGCAGTCTAGAAGATAGCCCCAAATTGATCTTTTCTTTCCATTCTATCGTTTGTCACAGCTATAATTTTTATACCTTACTCATAAAGGTGTCATTCTGCATTAGAGACTGTTTTCTGTTCAAAATCTATTGTCCTTCCCCTCTCTTCCTGGATACCTGTTAAAAAACCATATTTTCCGTCTTTCGTTGCAGAAAGATGTGACCATATGATTAAGGTCTGGTCAAAGAGTTGAAAAGCAAAAAATTTTAAAAATTATTTTTATTTTATGTGTATGAGTATATTGCCTGCCTTTGTGTAAGTACACCTGTGTCATGCAATACCCATGGAGGTCAAAAGAGGTCATCAGATCCCTTGTAACTGGAGTTATAGATGGTTGTTAACGGCAATGTTGGTGCTGGTATTCAAACCCAGGTCCTCTGCAAGAGCAGCCAGTGCTCTTAACTGCAAAGTCACCTCTTCAGCCCCAGCAAAATTTTTTATAAGATGGATAGTGTGTTGGTTAGTTTTTGTCAACCTGACAAAAAATAGAGTCATCTGTGAAGAGGGAGCCTCAATTGAGGAATTGCCTCCATTGGCCTCTGGACATGTCTATGGGGAATTTTCTTGATTGCTAATTGATGTAGGAGGGCCCAGACCACTGTGGGCAGTGCTGTCTCTGGGAAGGTGAGCCTGGGCTGTATAAGAGGAATGTATGAGTAAGCCAGGGAAAGCAAGCCAGTGAGCAGTGTTCCTCCATGGTTTCTGCTTCAGTTCCTGCCTCCAGGTTCCTGCCCTAAGACGTCTCTTAGTGATGGATTGTGACCTGAAAATTGTAAGCTGAAATTAACTTCTTCCACCCCAAATTGGTTTTGGTTAGTGTTTTATTACAGCAACAGACAAGTAACCAGGACACCTAGGAAGTATGAGAAAACCTGGTTTGTCTTGGTTGGGGGTGGGGGTTACCTTTTATTCTTTCACCCTTCTCTCCAGAAGTCATCTTGGGAACCATGCTGTACTATATGGTGATACCATGCTTAGGAAGCTAATGGTTCCCTAGACACTGTGGTATCATGCCAGACTTTTGGACTTCTTTTGGGGGCGGGGAGAGAACAAATGAGCTCATGGCTGTCTTAAAGAGAAGTACATATGGATAAAACCACTGTTATTTTGGATTTTCTGTTACAGTTTGTCTGAATCTGACTCATATCCTAAAACATACCAATCATTCAGCAGAACTCATATTTGACTTTATAGGTGGTAGCCTTGTGACTCATCTGGGAACGACTACTGTATCTAGTGGAACCTACATAAAAGAGGGGGTTTCCTCTGAGTTAACCTGTTTCATCTAGACAGAAACTTGACCAGGTTACATTGATTCAGCCCATAACTAACCTAGGCACTGAGCAAAGTGCAACAATGCTGTTTTGGATGATGTCAGCACCTACCTGACAACTTGTATATTTCCCAGGCACCTCAGATTCACAAATCTTACTCTAAAATTGGCCCTGTTCATCCCAGGTTCCACTCCCACTAGCACAGATTTCTTTTAGTAAATGATGTTTCCATCTATCCTTCCTGCTGTGCCAGGAGCCTAGGGCCATCTTTGACATACTTCTCATTTGCAATATTTAGGCAAGTGTCAAGCTCCATGATCTCCCTCTAAAATAAATTTCATTCCTATTTCTGTCTCCAGTATCCCCTTGGAGGGTTAAGCTATACCATATCTTTCCCAGACAACTCTAATAGCCTTCTTACAGGACTCAGATTCTCCATTCAGCTGCTGGAGAGAAATCAATCACAAGCCAGGTCATATTACCACCATGCTTTAAAGGCTTCCTATAACATGGAGATATGATATACAATCCTAAGCATGTCATGTGATGCTCTGCACACCTGGCCCCTGTCCACTCTCTACCACAGGCCATGTCCTTAATGAGTGCTTCAGCTACCTGGCCTTCTCATCTAATTCCTAGAATGGGTTTGCACAAGCTGCTCCCTCATCTGGATTACTCTCTTCCCATCTCCATTTAGTGTTTAACTACTACTGATTCTTGTGGTCATTGATTAAATGACACTGCTTCAATGAAGACTTCCTTTACCCCCATTTCCAGTCTGTATCAAGTTCTACAAATAAAACCTCTCACACATCTGTTATCTTTAGCTGTATGGCATTTTAATTAAAATTCCTTTTTTTTTTTTTTGGTCTTTTTGAGACAGGGTCTCCCTGTAGCCCCAGCTGTCCTGGAACTCACTATGTAGGCCAAGCTGGCCTTGAACTCACAGAGATCCACCTGCCTCTGCCTCCCAACTATTTGTTTTACTTGTTTACAGTGCTGGGGGTCAAACACTCTCGGACCTCACACATGCTTGGCAAGGAAGTGCTCTACCACTGAGTGACCCTCTTAACCCTAACCCCTTAATTTTAAATTGAATTTGTGTGATGTACTTTTGGTAGGCTACATCAGTCTCCTTCCCTAGACCAAAAGCACAGTAAGGACAGGCATTGCTTGCCATGCTCCTGCATCACTGATACCTCTCAGGTTAACACTTACTTGGGGGAGAAACGAATTAATGAATGAGCTGGAGATGAAACCAGGGAACTTTGGTTGTGTGACCTTTTCCTAAATTCTGTCTCATATGGTTTAATGATCTGATTTAAGGGCTGTTTTGCCTGCCAAGTCTTTCCCTTATGGTTGGGATATAATTATCCTCTACTTCATCCCCCTCTTGACCTCATCCTTGCCACATCCTCTTTCTCCTCCTTTGCATCCTCATGATACCTTTTGCAGGTACTTTAACAAGTCCAAGTTCATTAAGTCTCATCAATCCACAGCTATGATGTCACCATCTCCATTTTGTCAATGTGAGGTCTGAAGTTTAGGGAAAGGTACTATTGCCAAGGTCACACAACTAAGTAGTGAAGCCAGACCTGTAGTTTCCAAATAACTTTCTACTGGGTAGTGGTTTCTGTTCACTTGGCTAATACTTCTCATTCACATCACATTTATTGATCATCTCTGTCAGGCCCCATACAAGCTCCGGTTCAAGAAAACTAACTAGGTCCCTTCACTTATGATGCTTACAGAAGACTTAACTATTACTGAATTCAGATTTGTATCTGCTGGGTGTGATGGCATAAACCTTTAATCCCAACACTGAGGAGATAACTATAGCCCCAACTTTGGAGAGTAGATTTAGGGTGTTTAAAAAATTATTTTGGTCAGGCATGGTGGCACATGTCTTTAATCCCATCCAGGAGGCAGAAGCAGTGGACCTCTGTGAGTTTGAGGTTAGCCTGGTCTCATAGCGAGACATTGTTTCAACAAAAGGGGAGCGGAGTTCAGAGGACAATCTCTGTGTGTGGGGTTAATCTTCGGAATTAAATTTAGGCGCCCCCCTCCCCCGCCCACGTTCTCTGAGACAAGATTCTGGTGGCGCTCAGCATGTTATGCAGGACCTTAAACTCCTGCTATCTTCCTGCCTCAGCCTGGTGAGGTTCTGGGTTTGTGGGCCTGAGCCACCATGCCTGGCTAGATTGAGTTTTTTTGTGCAGAAGTGGAGAAGAAAGGGTTTGGCTGTTCTGCAAGGCTCTCACCCACTGGACCTCTTTCCTTCCTTTTACATACCTCTTTTATCCTCTTCTCTGTGGACTCCAGTCTCTTGCTGATTTTTGTAGGACCTGAACCATTCAAACTGTCTATAAGTTATTTGTAAAGCATTTTGAATCTGGAAGGACATTAAAGCAATAGTGCAGAATAAGCTTATTTAGCTTCTTCCAGAGGGTTAGATTCCTACAGCTTGCAGGCCAAACAGACTTAATTACTGTGCTTAGTCTGAACTGACTTTGAAGTTTCTTGGTCCTGTTACCATCATTAAACCTTTACATGTAAACAAGTGTCCTGTGTTTGTGATGTGTGTACCTGGCAATCACTTCAGAAATTGTTGGTTGCTATTATGAAGTTTCTCTAGTGAAGAATTTAGTGGGGTTTTTTTTTTGGTGGGGGTCACAAATTTCAGTAATTTAAAATGTCAACATTTTGGGAGACATTGTTCAGTTCTGTTTTAGAACACATGGAAAAGGAAAGGGTTTTCGTGGGCGCATTGACATGAATTGTCACTTCTCTCCCCTGCCACCCATTAGGTGAAAAACCACATATATCCTGGCATTTATTTTCTGCTATTTTTAAAATAAGAAAGATCGCGTCCACCTACCTATGTTTAATCTGCTGAACACAACAGAAACACATTTTATGCGGTTTAGCCTCACGCTCTCTTCTGCCACTCAGTGTGAACATGTAGGACAACGTACCCGAAGCTGCAGGGCCACGGGGAAAACGCTCAGTGGGAGATGTGGAGAGCCAAGGCGGGGGATGTGGAAGAGGAAAGCCAGAGCTGGGCGCCCGAGCCCTATTAGCTCTGCCTAGCGCCCTTCCCGGGGTAAACAAGACCGGGGAGTCCACGGTTCCTTCCAGCCCGCCGTCTCGGAGTCAGGTCGTCAGGCCGCCGGGACTGAGGCCTGCCACTACCGACGCTGCTTCCCGGTCCACCCGGCGGCCACTCCGGGATCCGACTAAATCACCTGGAACCCGGCAGGCGAGCGGGAGACGCGGGCCAGTGGAGCGCGGACGCAGCTCTAGACCAATGCCACCTAGGAAGGAAGAGGAGGGGCGACCCCGCGCGGGGAAGGGGAGGAAGAGGCGTCGGGGAGGGAAGGAGAGGGGAAGGACCCGGGAAGGAAGAGCAGGGGCGTGGGGAGCGGGGGCGGGGC